CTCGCCGCCGGCGTTGGCAGGACCATCTGCTTCAGGACGATGTGCGACGGCGTCGCGCGGGCATGTTGCCGCTGCTGGGTCACCAAGATCCGCAGCCCGACGACGGCGTCTCGCTCCTGCCGTCGCGGCCCCTGGTTTCGGCTCTCTCCGAGGTGACGAGTACTTCTGTCCTTGATTTTGACATGCTCGGCGCCGCGGCAGTCGTCACCACCCTCCTCCCCGAGATGGAAGATGCTTCTCTGCCGCCTCAGAAGCATGGCGACTGGAAGTGGAGGAGCCGGGGGAGGAGGGTGGGGGAGTGCGTGGAGGCAAGCAGGGCCGGCTCTGGGCCGGGGCAATGAGGGCGACCGCCCAGGGCCCGGCCCAGGGAGGGGCCCCAATTTTTTTTGCATATGTTCCGATCACTAGAGTGCTTAGCAGGCCCAAAGCGCCAATAGCCCAAGGAAAGGTATACAAGCCGGGCAGATGGAGGCAGCCTAAAATCATATTGGCAGTCCGCACCCACGATCGCGTTAATTTTGGGTATGTATCGACGGTTCAGTTCCTGGTTGCCGTCCCTAAAAAAAAAAAAGGTTCCTGGTTGCCGTATTGCCGTCGTATCCTTCCAGTCGCCGTAGGCCGATCGCCATGCTGCTGTATTGCCGATCGCCTTGCGCCCTCGCGGCCGTATTGCCGATCGTTGCCCAAGCTCAAGCAGCCAAGGAAGCCAACGGATCTTGCCCTCGTTTGCCTAAAGCAGCATACTGTGGTAAATGTCTGTTAATTAGTTAATTCAAATGTAGAAAATGATAACAATGTTGCAGGAGAGCATGGAAATTTTCAGCACTCATCTCATACCGAAAATACAAATGTTGATGAACAGGAACTATCACCTTTTTGTATCTTTGATTTGATCCTAGGACCTGGGATAGCCTTGATAACTAAAAAAGGGATATCTTAGGTAATAAAGGACCTGTGAGAGAATACAATTCGAAGTTTCCAGTGGATAGTTTTCATAGACTTTTTCATATTCTTACTAGAAGGTTAAGTAATGGCTAAGAGGTTGATAGAAAAATGTCTAGTTTACTCTAAGAATGTGAAAATGTCTATTTTTTTACTGCAAATTGTTCAAATCGAATCAGAGTAAATGTTTGTTGGCATCTGATGAATTAATGGATTGGAAGCATCTTGGTGACAGACTCAAACAACATGGTAATATTATTGAGCATCCTACAAACATGAATACTTGGAATGATTTTGCATCCAAAATTGCCGGAAGGAGTATTTTTCGAAATGGCAAGTGATTTCCTTCTTATCTGACGTAATCTATTAGCTCTATTTTCTTTGTAGTGTTTTAATTAGCATTTGAGAACCTATTACAATTTAATTTTAATAGTTGCTTTATGCTTTGCTGTTTTTTCTTTTATTATTGTATATATTTGATGAGTGAAATATATATATATACATGTAGCTTTAAGGGCGCCAGCTTTGTGCTCGCCCTAGGGCCTCAGAAAACATAGAGCCGGCCCTGGAGGCAAGGCGACCACTGACCACTTCTCCTTTGATGTTCTCAGTGGGGAGGAGGAGAGGTGTGTGAGGGGGAGAGGAGTCACCGGTATTTAAAGGCACTTGGAGTCCACAAGAGGGTGCAGAATTCCTGATCAATATGCTTGCAGCTCAGCTCAATCGCGTGTCACCCAGCCAGGAGTGAAGGATCTCTTATTAGATTCCTCCAAGGCTCCAACTGGGGCCCAGCGGCTGTGCTGATGCTGCTACAGAAATTTTGCGCACTGATGCTGCTGGAGAATTGAGAGCAATGGAGACGTTCGGTTCTGGAGCCTAGCCAGACGATGATGGGTTCGGCCGCTTGTGGGGGAGGAGATGATGGCACATGCCTTGCAGAGAAAAATAATTGCAGTCGTGCAGATGAACGTGGAAACGCTGCCATGACTACACTTGGTTTAACTTTTCCATCACTTCGGCTGCACGACAGGTCTTCCGGTGATCCAACACGCAGTTAGGCATGCTTTTGATGATTTATGCCTGCAAACGGGAAATGGCAGGTACGCTACTTCTTTTTTCTTGCGAAATGCAGGTACGGTGGTACCGTTGTCACGCGCCGAAGTTACATATCTCCATAGCTCAAGTCGCATATGTACCAGGGCAGAATGGTTAATTTAAGAACCACTCAAAATGGTCTGGTACTCAATCATATATCCCAAATATTGAACTTACGCATTATAGACCAAGTACTGTCGCCATCTAATTCAAATTTAAGTTATTGTTTATTATATATTCCTTTCTCCTTGTAATGTACATGTTGATAAAGTCATCAAACTTTATTAGGAATAATTTTTAAACTTTTCTAAGTTTCAACGTGTACCGCCCATGTACACTCTCTATACCGCACATAGGAACGAACATGAAGAGTACTTTTGAATGAATAACAAGTGTACTCATGCGGACAATTAACCGCAGATGTTTTCGTTTGAGGATTAGTTTACCATCAACAATCAAAAACACGAAAAATGTTTTGCAAACTTGAAAAATCGAACTTCTCGGTTGGTAGGCCTATATGTAGCGATAAGTACTGGAAATGAAAAGGACCGAACAAAAATGCCATCTTATTTAGCTGTAGGCGTCGAGCACCACCCAGTAGCAGTAGGGGACGAGACAATCAGTGATCCAGATATCACAAATCCCATTATTGTATATAAAAATCAAAAAAATACCGCGCTGAAGGAGTTCTAGAAAAAAACGGCTAAAGAAGCTACTGAACCGTAGAGGGTGACACCAAAAATGATGGATTTGGCCTCCATGTGGGCCCTATTGTTATGCATACGCCAATGGACCATACAAACTTTGAGTTTTGCAACCATCTTTGGAGTGATACCGAGTGGTACCGTAATATAACTTGTGGTAAAAAAATGCTATTAACACAAATATAAAAAATTGGTAACATCCATGTTATTTTTTTAATAAAAATAGGGCTACCACCCAACGATGGTAAAAAAGCTCACAAACTTGATCTGGGCAAGAAAAATAAGAAACAACGAGAACGATTCTCATGCTCCCACCCCCTTCTCCTGCTACCACTACTGTAGTGCAAAAATATGCAAAAATATATATATAAATAAATAGAGAATGCAATGATCTATCATCATGCAGAGGTGCAACGATTTTTTTTGTGCAAGGAGAAATAAAAAAGGGAAATCACGTACTGAATAGTTGCTGGTTATACTGTTCACCCGAACCCAATAACCGCTACTGTTTACACATTGTCTTCACTTTTTTTTTTTGCATCTTGCACATTTTACCGTTGTATTTGAAATTTTGCATGATTGTACAATATTATATGAGCTATCCATACATATTTTTTGTTGCAATTTTTCGTTGCATATTTTTTATGCTACATTGGTGGTAGCACGAGAAGGGCTGGTAGCTCCGGATCTTTTCCCAAGAAACAGCATATCAGAGTGTCCCAAGAAACAGGTTCAGTTGGATTCTTAAAAAGAAACGATTGTAAGCGCAGTATAGTGTGGCAACGATTACAAAAGGCGGGCAGGAATCTCTACACCTTTTATTCTCGGACCAACGCGAAAAAGCTGACCGTTCTTCTACTTACAACTGGACGATGCACGCGCTTAGCCAAGAATTTAGGTAACGAAAAAGTTGTCTATACCGGTTAGCCGATCGAGCACATAGGCTTGTAGCAGTATTTCTTGAAAGACTGATAATGACCCAGCATCCAGCAACTAGGACGGGAATTATAGTTTACAAGCCGCATCATCAGCTCTTCAGAGTTTGCAAAATGTGAAGGAAAAAGTTCAGAGTTGAGATTTCATATTGTACTCACCAAGTATTCACTCGTGATCAGAAACGAAAGAAACATCGTCGCAGAAAAACAAACGAAAGAAACAGGCTAAACAGGTTTAGGCATGCAAGTGAGTGACTAAATCGGCAGCGCATCAGTAGTAGCATAAAAAATATGAGTACCAGCCCAATATGCGCATACTTATCATTCGATTCTATAAATGGGGACGAAGGACAATGCTCCAAGATCCAAATGAATACTGCCCCTGGATCTCACAACACCGAAGACGACTTCGATTAGGATGTTTGACTCGTTTTTAGCCTGATCTTCTCTCTTTAAGTGGTTGGCGTCACTGGCCTGGCTCAGGATCTTTTCCTAGGCAGCATGGCACGCCGATTTCCCATCAGGCTAACAGTATGCCGTGTGATTCTAATTGCCGTTTATTTATGCGTCACTTTCTTTGTGGAGTGGAAGCCTCTGGAATATCTGTGGGTTAGCACGCACCTGTCAGTGTTTCTGTGCGCTGACAGGGGATGATCAACATTTTCTTTCGAAACAAAAACTATGATGATCAGAAGTTCCTAATTCCCAACAAGCACCAGCGGGGCACCGCTGCAGGCTTGGAGCTGTAGGCTATAGCACCCCCATTGATGTTCAAGCTAGCGCTACCACCACAGATCACCTTTTTTTTTTCCGAATACCACCACAGATCACTGGGAAAGCTCCACAGCCACCACCATGCTGCAGCCTCGGAAGTCGGGATCACAATTCGAGGTCCGCCGTATATGCTCTGCCCACATGCTGCCAGCTCAGGTGATGGCTACGGGGACGAACAGAAGGTTGCCGTGGGCGACGACGGCACGACGCCTTGGCGTTGCCAAGCCAAGCTACTAGTAGCTTTTTTTGAGCTCCAAGCCAAACTCCTAGCTTTTTTTTTTTTTTTTTTTTTTTTGGGAGATCAAAGCTACTAGCTACAGATCGAATTTCTCACGCAGGTGATATCATCGATCGGAGTTGGGCCGGAGCGGCGACCGAGAGAACTGTTGGGCCAGATAAGATGGTCTTTAGGAGAACACGGCGAATTACTCACTCACTTCACGTCGTGGACCACAATGAAGCAATAATGTTGGGCCGCGAATTTCATAGTTCACGCTCCGTTGTTCACGTCAAACAGAACATGCAGCCCACGAAGTTAACTGCTGTGAAAGGGGCCTTAGCCTAGTGATTAAGGCACCCGAGTAGCACCTTTGAGGTCCTGGGTTCGACTCCCGGTGGGAGCGAATTTTCTAGGATTTAACGGCATTTGTGCTTTCAGCGGTAGGCGACGTGGCCGTCGACAGCGAGGCGCCAGTGGTGACTTCGGGAATCTGGAGAATTTGCCGGCTCAGTCTTCGAAGATGCTCATAGGGGTAGGGTTTGCGTATGTGCGTTCATAGGGGTGAGTGTGCGTGCGTTGTGAGTGTCTGAGTTGTACTGTGTAATTAAAAAAAAAAAAAAACGAAGTTAACTGCTACTTTGTATTTTCTTTCGCTGACCGAAGTCCGAACTTGACTGCAACTGCGATGGAAAATGCCATGAAGCGACCGAGAAATTAATGGTCGATCAGCCGTGAACGACAAAAGCTGTAGACTCTAATCACTCTTTGCTTGCCAGAAAAACCGAGTCCTTATCCAAGTTCCAAACGCATGGCCGGCCAAACACTCGGCACATGGCCAGAAGCACTTGCACAGCAGCTAGCAGTGCAGGTTTCGTAATAAGCTCGTCTGTTTTCACTCGTCCGAACGGTGATAATGCTTTACGTCGGCACTGGTCATGCAAACCATGAACATGGACACAGTCAGCTGATCACGTCGTCAAGGGAAAAAAATTTATTCAAACACAGGTGAACTAGCTGAGCGTGGACACGTGCCAAGATTCTCGGAGTAGGCAGGTCAAAAAGCTCGCACGAAAACAAGGCCATCTGCTTAATTAGTAACCTAATTGGGACGCACGCGTGCTAATTTGCCGTGCTTGTTCCGCATCGCAAAGCTGCAACGCAAACCAGGGGCGGTCAGATTACTGTATTTTCGCGGTCGCCATGCATGCTCTGTAGATTCCTAATCAAGCATAATAGTAATATTCAAACATGAGAGAATTGACCAGGCATTGCCGAGACTGGCGGTGTGCTGGTCGCGCCTGCGAGCTCGTCGTCTGACTCGTCCGACACTATCTCGAAAGATATTCGAATCAACGCTCGTATGCATGTTCCCGCTATTCGCAGTGTCAGAAGACCAGCAGAGGAAACTTAACTTTGGATCATGGAGTCTCCTGTCCCTCGTCGGATTTCCATTAAAAGTACCGCTAACAATAGCATTAAACTAGTAGTACTAACAAGGTAGCTTTAAACTACGATATATAATATCCGATTGGCCTGATACTACCGTATACTACTAATATGGTATTGCCCGATCGGCTGACGGTCAGTATAAGCTCGAATTTCCCCGTAACTTTCAGGCTTTCAGTTGCAGCAAGAATGTAAGGTAGGGCGGCTCGCATGCGAGGCCACAGAGGCTATAAAAGGCCATCAAATCAAAACCTCTATCTTCTCGTACGCCAACAACTGTCAGTAGTGAGCCAGGCAGCCAGTATACATCCACTCTTGTTCATCGATCGCTGCAGGCCGGCGCCGGGCACGACCAGTGTTGCGTGAGACGAGATGCAAAGGGGAGGAAGGAAGGTGGCGACGGCGGCGGCTGCAGTGGCTGTGCTGGTGCTTCTGATCATTTCGGCCTCCGTGCACGGAGTCGTGGCGGCGCGACTGCCGGGAGAGGGCGGTGGCGGCCATGGCCACCGTGCAAGGGTTACCACAGAGTCCATTCCCACGACGGTGTCGGAAGGGAACGGCGGCGCCAAGCGTTCCAACTGCACCCATGATCCCAACAAGCCCAGCTTCGGGAGTTGCCCTCCTTAACCAAGCGCCATATATATAGCTGCCTGCTTCAAACCCACTCACGATCTTAACGATCTGATCTCCTCCGCACAAAACTCTATAATTGTTATCGCTGACCACCTTGTATATATATATATGTGTGGCTGAAGAACAGCCTTAACTGTTGCACCACTGAATAGTACTACAAGTTTTATGGTTTTATGCTCATGGACTTGCCGATCAAACTCATGGACTTAGCTTGCTGATCAAACTTGTTTCTAATTCTGCACTTGCATATTCTGGAGCCCTCTCTCCTTAATTTTGTGCAAATTGTGCTCAACCCAAGATATTGACGATAAAAGTGGCATGCATGTGCAATATATGACCCACATGCTGCAGCAAGCGACGCAACCATTGTTGCATGGCGAAACGAATTAAGGAATGACGAAATATCAAACATCATTTTTGGGACATTTGTTGGGCCGAGCGTTGGGAGAGTAGATGATTCAGTCTGCATCACTTCGTGGACCGAAATGGGGATTGAATGGCAACCGTGGGCCTGTTATAACTAACCATCGTAAAAGCCTAGGAATATATAGTCAATTCACACATATTTTGAAGTTCTTTCAAGTAAACTCTATGGCACGTACGATTGGTCGCATAGTATTCTAGCGTACTACCCCGCGGTCCATGCTGCCTGCACATATTCGAGACTTGTCCCGAGTGTGAGATAGATTTTATTTTAATGTGTGCCTAATTGAAGTTTTCTTGCGACATGATGAGAGGTGGTGGGACTGATTTCATGTGGACTGCAAGAAAAGATGGAGTCTTTTAAGCCATACTCTCAATTTTTTTTTGTTTCTAGTTTTATTTTCACTATTATGTTTTTGATGATTAGCATAATAAAATAAGATCTATATCACGGAAAATTTTAATTGTTTTACTGCATATGTTGCTATCATTCATGCATAAACACTAGTTGGTTACATCAAATTTACTCAAAATTGTAAAAACTTCAGTCAATATTCTATATAATATAATAACTTGTCTACATACAAAAATAACACAAGCATTTTTTATGTCAATTGTTCTGGCTACACAAATGTCAATATATTCTATGATCGCAACTGTATGTGAACACCAGGTACTATTTTTAGCTCTATATTTATTGGTAGAAACTTATGTGCATGGTATGTAACTACTTTTCTTACTGATTTGACAACAACTTATATACGTACAACTCAACAGTTTTTTACTATATTATGCAATAACCACTTCTATGTATACCATAAAATTAAAATTTAGAATATTAATTAAAAGTTTTGACATGGTACGTAGTAACTTGTGTCATATACATGGTAGCATTTGTTTGTCTTGTCTCGTAACATGTAACCGTGCAAACGATCGAAATGAAAAATGGACACTTCTTCTTCTCCTCTCTCTCTCTCTCTCTCTCTCTCTCTCTCTTCGTAATTGCCGTGAAATCCAAATTAAATATCCACACACAAACACTATTGGAAAGAATCCAAATTAAATATACACATGCTTTCTATTTGTAATAAGCAAATAATCACTACAACACAAACCTCCTATAGCGACAGTGCCTAAAATCTTATAACGACGGTTTTGAAAATCAACCGTCGCTATAGTAGATGGAAGGGCACTATACAAATGACCCGTCGCTAAAAATCATTTGTAGCGGCGGGTGGTGGCAGGAACCGTCGCTACAAATGATTTATAGCGGCGGTTGACATCACCAACCGCCGCTACCAGCGGTTCCTGCCACCACCCGTTGCTACAAAAGCAATTTGTAGCCACGGTCTGCTTTGCCACCCGCTGCTACTGAACCTCAACACGAATCAGCAACCCACCAGCGAATAAAAATCTCCAGTCCGAACTCTAACAACCCCACTCCAGTCCTCTCTCCTTTGGCTGCCGCCCCATTTCCTCCTCCCTTCCTCTCCTCTATTCTTCCTCCAAATCCTCCTTTCGCTACACGGCCTCCTCGCGTCTTGGTCCAAGCCGCAGCGGTCAGCCTGCCCTGCTCCACGAGAAGGAGCTGCAATCCACCCCGCTCTGCATGTGATGCCTAAAGTCGTCAGCTCACCTTGCTCCCTTAGAGCATCTCCAGCAGAGTTGGTAAAATGGATTGGTATACCTAAAAACTGCTAAAAAGCCTAAAAACTGTCAAAAAACTGCTCCAGCAGAGTTGCTATATGGATTGCTATACCTAAAATTTTTAAGCTATAATCTAAATTTCTCTCTCCTAGACTAAATATAACAATGCAAGAGTGGATTGCTAAAACTCACGAACCGATGGCACCAACGCCAACCGCCAGCACAAAGACATTTCCGCGTGCCTCTCCGCCGCCGCGCATCACCTTTTTCGTTCCAAATCCGGCCGTCGGAGCCGCCATGGGCGGCCACAGGCACCTTCCCGCGGCCCCTCCTCCTCCCTCCGGCGCTCCCAACCCACCCCTGTCCGCGACGACGGCCCCCAAGCGGCCAACAGCACGACGACTAGGGTTGGCGCCGCCGCATCCCCGGCCCTCGCGTGCCGCCGGGGGCTAGCGCAGCGAGCACCGCTGTCGAGGACGAGCCGCCCCGCGCTGTGACCGATGCCCACCGCCCCCGCAGGTGCTTCGCCTCTCCCCCGCTATGGCAAGGACGAGCCGAGCTCCGCCTAGGCGTGCCCATGGCTTCGGCGCGTCAAGTGGCCGCCTGCACTGGAAGACGAGCCGAGGACCCATGCCCACCCGCGTAGATGGTCAACGATGAGGAGCTAGGAGGCCCAATGTGTGGCAAGAGAGCTCACAGGAGGAGCTATGGCGGGCGTCACAGGATAGAAGAAGGTGTTTTTGCAAAAGAGTCCTCGCGAAATACTGTAATGTTTTGGTGTTTTTCTGTGTCTTGGTGTTTTCATGCAACACCCCCTAAACTCTGGTGTATTTAAAAAAACTTTATAGGTCTCCAGTTTTAAATATACTGCTGGAGATGAAAACAAAATATGTTGCTAAATCTTCTCTCTCCTATATTTAAACTCAGTTTTACCGATTCGATTTTAGCAATACTGCTGGAGATGCTCTTAGGATGTGGCGTGCTCGCCCAAGTGCTGCACTGAGCAGGCCACATGCCCCTGCCATTCCTCTGCTGTCCACCTTTCATCTGTCGCAAGGAAGAAAAGCAGAGGAAGGATCTGGTCTCTCCGTTCGTGATTTGTCCTTATGCAGCATGGATCTGGCAACTCGTCCACAGATTTTCTTACAGGTGTGTACTTGATTCGTGTGCAAGGTATGTGTGTGTGCTATTCCAGATTTTTTTCCCCTTGTAGGTGTGCTATTCCAGATTTTTTTCCCCTTGTAGGTGTGCTAT